AACTGTCAATCAGTTTCTTCACTTGTGTAAAAAAAGACTGTAACGATCAATGAGATAACATTTGTTCCTCAATTTGATATGTCAAATTATTATAACAGTGGAAGACACACATAATTACAATATATAACCTTTTTCCAATTGAAAAAGGTTTCACCAAAAGAAATGCCAAATAAGAAAATGCTGTAGGCATCTGGATCCATCATGATATTTCCTAAAAACACCAGGGATTATAAGGAATTTGACAATTGACATCAAGTTTCATACTAAAATTTTTCTTAAACACAAAATAAACTTTACGTTGGGTCACAAAACCCTTATACACATTAAGGTGTCGTTCTTGTCGGACGCGGATTCAGGATTTCAAAAGAATGGTGCACTACTGTGTAGAAGTGAATCTAGAATTTATATTTGACGGATTTAACTTTAAACTTAAACCCATTACATTTTTGAAAATATAGGTTCCATATTATATTCTTCTTAAATTTTTGTAGTGATATATATATATATATATAAAATCCGTGTTAAGGGTGTATTTGAATGGTCAATTTCACCTGTAGAAATTCACCAAATAATTATTGTATCATAGGGGTAGATACGCCCCCTTCTTGTATTCTACTGCCGCATATCAGAGAAGATCTAGAAGATAGGAGACAAGTTGAACAGGCGGCTTTTACAAATTAGTATATTAAAAAAATATTGTCTCTCTCTATTTGTTTTTTATGTTCTTCGTCGACACTTGAAAAAGAAGAAAAATTCAGTTCTCCCCAAGTTCTTAGGCAGCAATTTTCATTCAAAAAATGTGATCTTTCAAACCAAAAGTAGACAAACTCCCTATTGTATTCAGAACTTGGTTTAAACGCCACAGTGTCGAAAAGAAATAACAAACAATAAACAGGAACTGCCATGCCATAGAAAAACTAGAAACAGAAACCCTTCGGAAGCATATATAATTAAACCTTGTATTTAAACCAGAATACGCACTACAACCTCTGATGTCAATGAAAGATTAAAACTGTGGGGCAAAAACGACAATTGCGTATCTGTTAATGCAGCAGAAGAATCGTTGAACTCCCCACCAAAAGAGTTTCCCAAATTGTAACGACTCGATCGATCATTTTGTATAATTGTACCCCGTTACTCCTTTATGATTTGCGGGATCGGTTAGTTTTGTTCCGGAAAGTTTTCTGGTTGATTTGGACCCTTTGATTCTTGACTTAGAAGTTTAAAGAAGAAATGTTCACCAAACTTTGACTTTTCTGAAAACGACCCCAAAACTGTGTTTTGATGGCTCTGATAGCTTCGTATCGTGATTTCGAACTTGGGCGTATGCCCAGAATTGATTTTGAAAGTCGATAGGTCAATTTTTGTTGATTTGCCGAAATTTGATAATTTGAAGTTGAAAAGTTTAACCGTAGGTTGACTTTTAGCTATCGAGCTCAGAATTTGATTTTGGGACTTGGAATAGGTCCGTTATATATTTGAGACTTGGCCGCAAAATTTGGCGTCATTTGGAATTGATTTGATAGGATCCAGACGTTTAGTTGTAATTTTAGAAATTCTTGAACTTCACTTTGAAATTCATACTTTAGTATTCGATTCGTAGTTTGAGATGTTATTTTTGTGTTTTGATCGTGCGAGCGAGTTCGTATGATGTTTTTAGACTTGTGTGGAGGTTTGGTTTAGAGCCCCAAGGGTTCGATGAGTTTTAGACATGTTTCAGAGTATTTTGAACTGAAATTACGGAATCTGGTGTGCTGATGCTTCAGGTGTCGCAATTGCGAGCTTAGCAGGGGGCCTCAGGTGTTGCAATTGCGATGCTAGGCTCGCAATTGCGAAGTGGTCTGGGATTTTGGGTAGTTCACATTTGCGACAAATATGTCGCTTTTGCAAGGTCAGCAGGGTTCGCAATTGCGAACTCATCTTCGCATTTGCGAAGAGCTTCCCAGGCCTGTCAGTGCCGCAATTGAGAGATTTCCTTTGCAATTGCGAACCCATATCGCAATTGCGATAATTGCAGCTGAACATAAGGGCTGAAAGCCGGGATTTTATCTCTTATTCTCTCATTTTTGAACCCTAGACTCGGGAGGAGGCGATTTGGAGAGGAGATGTTTACCTACAAATTTTGGGTAAGTGATTCTAATCTATTTCTAATCATATTCCATCAATATATCTTATATTTTAACATCAAAATCATGTGAATCAAAGTGAAAATTTGTCAAGTTTTTGAAAAATAAGAAATTGAGTTTTGAGCGTCGATTTGGACTCGAATTTTGAAATTAATCACATATATGAACTCGTGGATTCATGGATAGTCGGAATCTACCATTGGACCCGAATTTTGACCGGGCGAGCCCCGGGTTGACTTTTCTTGACTTTTTGGAAAAAGTGTAAATATCTTAGCTTTATATTGTAATTTAATTCCCTAGCATTGTTTGATGATATTAAGTCGATTTTGGTTAGATTTGAGCCATGTGAAAGCGAATTTTAAGGGGAAAACTATTTCTGAGTGTTGAATTGGTCTAGTTGAGGTAAGTATCTTGCCTAACTTTGTGTGGGGAACTACCTCTTAGGATTGGTATTGATTAATTCATTTGTGCTATGTGAAAGTCGTGTATGCAAGGTGACGAGTTGGTACACAAGTTGTATGTGGTATTTGACCGGTTTAGGCTACTTAGACTCTTTCCATGCTTTAATTGAATTGTTGTATCATGTTCTAAATTCTCATAGTCAATCTAGTCCTACTTGTGTTAGTCTATCCTTACATACCTTAAATGAATTCGTTAACACTTGTTATACATCCTAATTGATAAATTACTCTCATGCTTTAGTTGAACTTGTTGCCTCTATTATTGTTACATGTTATCTCTTTCACTGTTGATTGTTATTATTTGAAGTTATTGTGCGTGTTATCTCTTCCATTATTGATTGTCATTACTTGAAGTTATTGTTCATGTTATTTCTTTCCTTGTTGATTTCCATTATTTGAAGTCATTGTTACACGTTATCTCTTCCCTTCTGAGTTATTTAATAACGTGGTTATACATTATCTCTCATTGTTAAGCTATTGGTGTTGAAGTTCTGAAAGCCGTTATCACGTTGAGGCGAAATTGTTATTGTTGAAACCTCTTCCTTATTGAGCATTTTACATTCATTATTGTTGTTGACAGGGGCAGACCCACGTAGGGTCAAGATGGTTCATCTGAACCCGCTTCGTCGAAAAATAACATGGTGTATATAAGTATATTTTACCTTTCTTCTATCAAATGCTGTAATATAATTTTTGTTGACCCCATTTAGCACAAAGATATTGTCTAGACCATTGGCAATGTGGGTTCAAAATTTCTAGACAAGAATACATGAGTTCGAAACCAATCAGCCCCATTTATGGGCACTCTTTTCTCCTTTTTAGACTAGAAATGCTTTATACACATAATTTAGGGAGAGAAAATTACACCTTTTTAATACAAATATATTTTGTTAACATCTTTGTATATTTATTTATTTATATTTTGAACCTGCTTGATGATAATCTTGGGTCCGCCACTGGTTGTTGATATTCTTGTACACGTTGTGGTGGAGCCGTGGGTTATTTATTGTGGAAATACTGATATTGTTTATTGTTGGCAAGTTGTGATATATGGGCAGTTGTGGTGCAAGTTATTATTATGATGCGTTATTGACGCGCATGCGACGGTATAAGGCTTGGAGTTAATGTGCATGCGGCGGTATAAAGTGTGACTTATGTGTGTGTTGCTTGTAGGGGAACTACATGAATCCACACGACGTCATAAGGTGGGCTAAAGTGCGTATAGCTATTTTGAAAAAACTGTTTCAAAAACCTATTTCAAATGTAAGGCTCACACGACGGTATAAGGAAAGATTGTGATTGAGATTGTGAACTGTGAATACGAAACGGTACCTCGATTGTGATTCTTGATACATATACATGAGGCGATACCTCGGTGGTGATCCTTATTGTACACGAGGCGGTACCTCATTATGATTCTTGTTGTTTTGTCCTTCTTTGTTTTTTGTAATTTTTTGTCCCTATATGATCGTCGTGATTCTCTTTACTGATTTATTTACGTTATTTCCGTGCTTACAATTCCGGTATTAATTCATGCTGTTAATTGTTTCGTATCAATTATTTCTTCGCTTTCCATTATTCATCCTTATTATGTTTTCATATTGCTTATTTATATCCTAGTAAGTGTCTTGACCTGGTCTCGTCACTACTCTACCGAGGTTAGACTTGATACTTACTAGGTACCATTGTGGTGCACTCATACTACACTTCTGCACATCTTTTTGTGCAGATCCGGGTACGTTTGTGCATGCTAGTCGTTAATGATCATCTGCTAGCTGCTTTACAGAGACTTCAAGGTATGCTTGCATGCGCAAGTCTCAGAGTCGCCTTCTTTTATTCTTATGTCCTGTGTATTTTCTTTCACACAGTGATGTAGTAGATATTCTGGTTTCACTCTGTAGAGTTTATGACTCAGTTTCACCGGTAATGGGGAGTGTATTGTTGTTGATTCTATTTTTCTAGAGTTTATATCAGTTATTCAGTCTTGTTTTAGTATTTTGTTAATTATTTCCGTCAAGTTATTATTAACTGTTAGGCTTACCTAGTCGTAGAGACCAGATGCCATCACGATATCCTACGAAGGGAATTGGGGTCGTGATATAAATCCAACTTCAATTCACTAGGAACCGTGGTTTAATCCACAAACTAAATGTCAATCTTTATCGTGTGTGGTTTTTAGGAGAAAATCAAAAACTTTAGTCTTCTGAAGAGAGAGAAGCAGTCATTAACCAAAAACGAAAACCGATCTCACATCCTTATACACGATATCAACAGTTTTGGTGTGGATGGTTATTTCTGTAAGGTCTGCATACACACTATCCTTCTCAGATCCCATTAGTGAAATTATACTGGGTTATTATTATTGTTGTTGTATAATAAAAATAGCAAGAAAAGTACAAAGTTTTTCTCAAAATAGAGAAATAAACGGGTGTAGAAGAATTTAACACATTAGTCACTCAAATGTAAATTACAAATCAAACTTTTTTAATACGGTAGAGAAGACGGATAACTAATTTAATACAAATACAAATATTTGCAATTAAGCAAATAAATTAAACATCACGCTAAGCCTTTTTTAGTCCTAGTGTAATAAGAACTACACTAAGATAATCATATCTATAAGCAGTTCTAAAGAGTTGAAGTGATTTATGATTCCAAGGAGGATATCTAAACCAGATGTCAGTAAGAAAGCTCCTTCTTACAACTGCTTTCTCATGGCTAAATGTATCAAATGAAAATTTCCCATGGTACCTTCCAAAGCCACTTTGCCCTACTCCCCCAAATGGAAGTGTATCAGCTGCATACTGCATTTATAATAACCAAAGTCATCTTGATAATTAGTTTAATGTTAAATCTATTCAAAATAAGAAGAAGAAGATGATGACGACGACGACCACGACGACAACACGATTAAAAAAGGGGGATCGTACAGAAATATCCCAAAAAAGTCTCAACCTACCAATATTTAATAATTAATCATAAACTTACAAAAACTAATCAAGCATATATAAAAAATGACTTTTTTCAATGGGTATGTTTGAGATTCATTGAAAACATATAGACGAGTTAATATACAAAATTTGAGGAAGATTGGAGGTGATTTGGACTGATTTGATATCAAAATTTGTAGTTAAAATCGAGTTCAAAAAATTCTTCTGCGACACGTGTATCTCACATACAGGTATACATGGATATACATATGATACACATTTGATATAAATATGATACATATGTGATACACCAATCATTTTTTCATGTTCATCTTCTACTTCGAATTTTCAATTCAAACCACCTCAAAACTCTACCAAATCATCCCAAAATTGAGATTCAAGTTCTTTAAGATGTACCCAACTTATTCTAATAACACCCACTCAAAAGAAAGCAAAAATTTAACCTTTTTTGGCTACAAATAGTTAAATGACTAATATTAGTAATATTTTATGAATTAATCAATTTTTATAATAAGCTACTTATAAATGGATATAACTGGTATTTTTCCTTAAAAAAATGGCAGTCCGGTGCACTAAGCTTCCACTATGTGCGGGGTCCAAGGAAAGGCCAAACCACAAGGGTCTATTGTACGTAACCTTACCCTGCATTTCTGCAAGAGGTTGTTTCCACGACTTGAACCGTAACCTCTTGGTCTCATGACAACAACTTTACCAGTTACGCCAAGGCTCCCGACAACACAATTAAATTAAAAAAGAAAAATAGTAAATGCTGGACTTACTTGGATGATTGAATCATTGAACACCACACTTCCTGAAGATGTTCTGCTTATAATCTTCTTTTTGAGTGCTTCGTCTTTGGTAAAGGCATATATAGTAAGTGTTTTAGGCCTTGCATTGATAAATTCAATACTGTCCTCGATTTTATCCAACTAATAAAACAAAATAAATTCACCTTAGAACAAATGTTGCCTTTTGTAGACCCAAAACAAAGAAAAAGAAAATGTTGAATAAGTTAAACTTTTATATTCACAAGTTCAAGGGGGCAATGCAAGTATTTCAAAAACTAAGAGACATAATGTGTCTTTTCTTATCTTTTTTTTTTTTTTGCGAGAAC